CCTAAATGCCTGCCTCTCAAATAGATCCCATTATATCTAGTAAGAAGTGCTTTAAGGTTTATGGTTCATATTCTGTGTCTCTTTAGGACCAAGACCATGAAGCTTCGGTGAATACTCTCCAACTGTGATTCTGTCCTGGTATCCTTGAGCCCCTCCAGAGACTGAGTCTCAGCAGATTCTGTTAGGTTAATTAGTAAAATATGTCAAGTTTTTTGTTGTTTATTTGCTTATTTGCTATTGATCTTCTTAAAAAGTTAATTCTTCCTTGGTTTAGGGGTGAGCTTTATTTCACTTTAATTTTTGAAGCACAGGCATAAGAGAAATTAATTTATTCTGAGCTAAATATTTACTCTGTCAAAAATAATTAGCTTATCTGATTTCAATTTACACAGTTTCTAGAATCTTTTATTTAGACAGTTGACAGATTCAGAAGGTGTTTATTGCTAGAAAAGGTGACTAATCGGACAATAGAGATGCTGATTATTCAGTTGAGTTCAAGACTGTTGTGTATATTTCACTTCAGGGTATATGAACACTTCTCCACAAAAGACTCATTTAACTAATGTGGCTCTAGAATGGATAGAGTGGTTTGTTTTTTATTTTTGTTTTTCAAGTGTATGTGTGTGTGTGTGTGCGTGTGTGTGTCTATGACTTAGATCACAACTCAGGGCTCTTATTTCTTTAACTTGGGATTTCTCTCCCAGCAGTACACTCAGAGATGCAAACTGTATGCACTGCTGTCAACCTGGCTTTCCTTTTTGAAGACCAAACTCATTGCTTCATGCTTTCACCTGGCTGCTTTTGTTTTTATAGACTTAAAGTTTTTAGTCTTCTACTGAATTTCTCTTTCACCTAATTCTTTCTAAGTTAGGTAGTTACTTGCAAGGTGCAAGCCCTTGAAACTATTGTATTTGAAAATATACCTAGACTTGGCTAAGCTCTTCAGGGGCTGGGCAGGGGCTCCACTCCAATTCCAGTGCCTGGTGTTCACACTAAATACAGAAGTAAAATTAGTGGGGACAAGGGTACTTGCTCTGTTTACTTCAGAGTTTATTGATTCATTCTGCAGGTGTTTACTCAGCACCTCTTATCTGCCGGGCACTGTGTTAGGCATCTGGCATAAAGAAAGCGCTGAGAAGATAAGCAGTTCCTGCTGGCCGGGTGAAGAACTCAAGAGTCCAACAGCTGTGGGAGGCATTTTCACTGTGCGAGCAGAGAGGCTCCCTCAGTTTGTCTAAAGCAGCAGAGGATTTTTCTTGTTAGGATACTCCAGGATTAAAGAAGACTCGAATCAATTACACTTCGAGGTCTCCTGGGAGCACAGGAACTGAAACTAATCTAGTGGAATATAATTGGCCAACTAAAGGGATCTCCAGTTATGCAAGCATGAAGATATTCATAGGAACGCATAACTCAGTGTTCCCTTCAATGGCATTTGGGAGAGAGTCAAACCTACATAAATATTTCTGTATTTTCCTTTGGGAATTCACTAAAATCTTAGGTTATATCCTCTCAAAAATGTTGGGGGCTTAAATCATATTTGTTTGTTTCTTCAGGCAGATAATATGTTTTCTATTTTTTTCCTTCTATCTTCTCCTAGTCTCTAGTTTTTCCTCTCTCTTTCTGTATGTGTGTCTGTGTGTGTATATATGTATCTACAGTTTATGTGTGTGTGAATGTATATATTCCCAGAATATCCGTAGAATAAGAAAATCTAACAGTGAAAACGAAGAGTCTGAGAAAATTTGACTGGACGAATTTTAAAACATCTACATCTGTTTACTTTTTTGAGAATTTTTATTGCTTTTTACTTTGCATATTTAAAAAATCATAATAGTAGCTCACAATAAATAAACGTCAGTCTTTACATTTGAATAGGAATTCATAGTTGACAGGTACTTCAAAGATGTTTAATTTTTTTTTTCTCCATAAGAACCCCCTGAAACCTGACAGGGCAGGTCTTACTCTCCATATTTCTTAAGTTGAGAATTTAAGTCCAGGTTATACGACTCGCCCATGGTTTCATGGCAGGCGATGGGGCAGTGGGATCCTCACCTTCATCCTGCTCCCCCTTCCTGACTTAGGTTCCCAGGAAAAAAAGGACCAGGCGTATCTTGGCCAGATGTACATTTCTTTATTTCCAGTAAGGCTTCCACCCTGAATCTCAGCCTTCATCCCTATTTTGGTAGCTAGACTAAAAAAAACTAGAAAAATTATGAAGGTGACTGTTAACTTGCCTAAAATTTATATAGGAAACACTTGTGTTTCATCCCTGCAAGTGGATATGAAGGGATATGGATATGAGAGATTGGATTTGTAGTGATTGTCGTCAAAATGCAGTGTTTGTCTTCATTACTGCATACCACTTACCTGGTGCACCCATCTTCTTACACCTGTTCAATCCCAGGCCCCATTTACTGTTGGGAAATTAAAATCATAATCATATAATCTGTCTACTCACTATTTAGAAATTGATAGGATATCTAGGAAAAATATCAAGGAGAAATAAAGGAAAGTAATTTATAGTATGTAAAGTATTTCAGAAGGTATGTGCTTCGATATGGAGCTAAGAAGACATAATGCAGTTAGATTCTCCCACCACATGTAGAATCATTAAGAATGTGAAAGCTGCAAATGGAGTCTGATCAAACGTATTGTACTGGCTGCACAAATACCACAAGTGGCATTTCACCAGTCAGGTGGTTTCCTGAAACAGTGAACGTCTATTAGTAAAATTCCAAACAAAACAAAATTCAAAAAGGAAACAAAAGTCCTTTGATTTATGTTGTTGTTGTAGAAAATTCGATGTATATAAAAACTGCATAAAATAATCATGTGTATATATAAAGCAATGTTAGGGTCTAGGCTCAGATGTTTGTAAATAGACTCTTTTGCCAATGTGAATGCCCAGTGCGCTGTTTGAAAGTCACGCAGGACAAAAGTTGTGGGATGCATGACAGTTCTTTGTGGTGCAGGACAGTTGTAGAGTTTGCCTCCTTAAGGCCAAGGGTGTCCTCTGAATTGTTGTGACAATCGAAATTGACCTTAGAAATTTAGAAAATGCCTTCTAGATGGTGATGCCACTTGTGTGGAAAATTTCTGCCTTAAACACTTCAGAAAGACACAGAACGCAAGGACCCTAGGAGAACAAAGACTTCCCAACATTTCAAACCAGAAGCTCATAGTCCTATGGTTTCATCATCTAGAGAGGCTCCAGGGCACAGGAGGGCAGAGAATGTCTACTCTATTTTTGCCCCAAGGCTGAGATAGGTTTTTAACCTTCACCTTGCCTTTATCTGCCTGCACTCTCTGTTCTTCTGTTCTGCATTCCTGTGGTTGAACTTTTTTGCTCTTTGTTTCCATTCACTGTCCTTGTAGCCTGCTGGGGAGGCTCTCTTTAGACTAGGTTCTGTAGGAGTTGTGAAAAAGGGGTTTGAAAGCATCCAAGAAAACTGATGAACACTAGAGTGTGTATGTGTGTGTGTGTGTGTGTGTGTGTGTGTGTGTGTGTGTATGTGTGTTAAAATATACATAACATATAATTTACTGATGAAAGTTTTTTATATAAGTAATTTGTGACTGCAAATATATGGCTAAAATATTTTGGTATAGAAATAGTAAAAATTTTATCTCTTTTAATCAGTTGGGAAGATATAATTTTGCTATAAACTGTAATATTTTAATAATTGGGTTTGTGAATTATTTCACAAAGTTAATCTTTAGTAACAATGAAGGTCAATATAGAAGAAAATAATCACCTCTAATTGCACAATTTCAGGAATCAGTATTTTCACTTTCTGTTCTCTCTGAAGCAGCATTTTGGTGCTAGGTACTAAGTTCAAATTCTCCAGCTCTGCTGCAGAGTGGCTGTGTGATCTAAAGCAAATTAATAAATTTCTCTGAGCCTTCTTGTAAAATTTCCTTATCAGTAGTATGAAGATGCTGATATTATATATAGCATGGTTGTAAGGATTAATGTAAGACATCTGATACACAGTTTTCTTATAGCGCTTGTTCCTGTGCATACTATTTATCATGCAGTGGGACCAGAGTATTGATAAAAATTTCTGTCTTCTCGTTTTACTTGACCTGAGTGTTTCCATCATGTAAACAAATTTCGTAATTCCTGTTTTAAAAGTATTAAAAAATAGTACACCTATGACATTCTGTCACCAAAATATTCTGTGTAGTACATGATATCCTTTTTTATATAATATGAACCATAAATTTACCTGCTTATCGCAAGAAAGAATTTTTTTTTTTTTTAAAAAACCTCGCTGCTTGAGATAACTCTGTCAGCAAAACCAAGAAGAAACACAGAGCTGAGTCGAGTCAGAATGGCAGATGGTAGGCTTGCCGGCTGGGTGGTGCACTCACCAACCTGAAATTGCAGCCTTCAGTGCAAGGATTTGCATGTCATGGACATTTGGGTTGCACAAAAATTGTCAAAACCACAAATATTAAATCTGAAACTTTCCTTCACTTAAAAATGATTTCAGTGTACATGAGCATTTTTAGTTTGGTTTCCTAATTTTATCATTTTAAAAATGATGCTGCTGAGTATATTTATTCACATATTGCTTTTTCCTTCTCTAGCAGTACTGCTTTAGGTTAAATGTCTAAAAGTAGAATTACTCTATTATAGGACATAGACCTTTTATAGCACTTGATGTAATTGCCACGTTGTTTTTTAAAGGTAGTATATAGATTTACACTGTCCCCCGTTAAGTAGTTTCAGCCATGTATATCTAGGGATTTTTATTTTAAAGTGTTTTGGGGGAACTAATTTAATAAGTAAAATATTGATTTTAATTTATATTTCTTTGGTTATTAGTGAATTTAAACATTTTACTTTCATATACTTATTTCCTCATGTAATACTTATTCATTCATATTTTTCTGTATTTCAATTATAGGATCACTTACCAATTTGAACCTTTTCAGGGTTTTGGGAAAATTAGACTCTTTATCTAATCATAATTTTTTGCCTTTTCTTTTAGCTCCAGTAATCAACCGATTCACAAGGCGTGCCTCAGGTAAGTCTGACTGTAATTATGGATTTTGCTTACTAATGGTGATATTTGAAAAATGATAGCAGTATTGGACATGAAGTTATAAAGAGAATAATTGCTGTAGAGTAATAATTTATTTCTCATTTATTTTCCTAGAAAACACAGCTATCTGATGTAATCATAATCTAGGAAATAATTGAAAATGAAAAAAGTTTAGAGTGGCTAAATTTAAAATCACTCTGTGCACTAAGCTGATGTGCCTTTTTAAATGGAGACTCTCACCCCAATGTGTTTTATTCTTGCTCTTCATAAAATTACTACCTGCATAGTTACCTAATTTATCAGCCACAATTTAGAAGCAGTAATTAGGCAGATTGGTGAAGGGCATCCTAGAAACAGTGATGAGTGAGAGTTTTTATAAAATAGAGTTTTAAATAAGGGACAGGAAAATTATTAAAATGCAGATATAAGGACTTGTCATTATGGGGCCATTTAGAATTGGAGGAAATTGCTTTACATTTGTTAATGTCCCTGAGGCTATTGCTGTCTTAAATATACCTTAGTAACCTAATGTACAGTCACAGTGATAGACCTTAGTCATTGACAAGTGCTTAAATTAGGTTCAGTATACTGCTGCTGCCTAAATTGGTAGGAAGTATGGGACACAGGAGCATTTCTGTCCAACATGGTTTAAGTAAAATGAGTTTGGTCATTGAAATGGCTGAATTATTGTTTGGAAAATTCACGCTGTAGAATGCCTTTTTCTCAGAAGATAGAGGACAAGTGAAATGTTTCTGTGTTTGGGTTGAGAAAATTACTCTTTCTTTTAACTATAACTGAAAATTTTTTGTTGAAAAACAAACATTTCAAACAGATCATCTTTGGAGTTTATATAATACACATGAGTGATTTATTTCATAAAACTACCTATTTCTATCTTTGCTATAATATTAAAGATATTTTAAGGTTGAATTTTATTTTTGATTTGTTAGCAGTTACTGGTATAATTTATTCTTGTTATGTAGTGACTAGGTCTATAGGGACAGGAATTAGGAAAATGTTCTATACTGGGATGGTATCTAGTTTGCTATTCTGATTAATTGATCATAGGCTCCAAGATACAGATTAGTTTTGAAACACCACTATTTTACCCCCTTAACCCTACCAAATGTGTAGCCAGTGTACCTTAGCAAGTTTTGGCTGGAAATGTAGAGATGATGGAATACCAGTGAAGAAATACAAATTAAAATCAAATGTTGCATTTATTCCCAGAATGATAGGCAATAGGAAATGCCAATGAAAACAACAGGGGACAATTTGGTATAAATAAGGTGATACTAAGTTCAGGAGCCAAGTATAACCATAAGCCTTAAAAGGGGCAATTGTTATCCCAGTAATATGCTGGAAACCATTATGAGAATGAATCTTAACATTTGATTATTGGAAGGAGAAGAGAACTAACTTATGGAGTACCACTGATGGATCAGACACTGTGCTAACTATTTTGTACACGTTTTCAATCTTTCAGGCAAGGGAAATAAAATTATATTTAGTAACTTTGGTAAAAAGAACAGTGGTATAAGAAAAAAAGTAATGAGACGTATTTAATCATCTGCATATCTATAATTTATTTTGACTTTCTTATTTTATGTCTTATAAAAATTTGTGTAAAGCTTCTCAGGCAAAGAAGAATATAGAAACAGTTTTAAGATATCCCAAGGAGTAAATTCTACAGCTCTTTTTTTGTTAATTTAATTAAGTGGCTCAAAATGAGGTTTAGTAGCAGAGATGTATGTTAACTTTTTAAAAAGTAACATTTTTATTTATATTTTATTTCTTTATTTTCCTGAAAATAAAGAAAAATGATTACTCAAAAATAGAAAATTATATTTGATAATTAAAAATACTTCTTAAGATATATTTTTCTGATAGAGTTTTATTTCAGAAGTACTTTTTCTTTTCAGAAATAAACTATAAAACTTTAATGTAATAATTGTGATTTAGGGAAAGAAAATAAGTCAGGTAAAATCAAGCAGAAGTCTCTATAAGAGTTTGTTTCTTATTTATTCTATTTCTTATTTATTATTTCAAAATAATAATTATGACAGTAAATGTTATATAACAACAATAAATACAATATATATATTGCTGCATATTTAGTTACTGTTGATTGAAAAAAATTAATTTGAGTTATAATTAAGATATTTTTAATCTTCCAACTGAGTTTCCTAAATCTTTGGGTTTTTGGCTTTTAATATTTGTACATCAATCAAGCATATTTTAAACCTGAGTAATTTAAACAAAACATTTCCCCTTTTTATATTTTTTTGTTATGGTTCATGAAGATGAGAGGAATTTTTATGTTCAGAAAACAATAAATACATTATTTAGGATCATTTTACACTTTTAATAACACTATTTGTGCTGCATTCTCCTGTCTTCTTCATGTTTTCAGTGCCTGCCCACAAACCTGTCAGTTTTTATTTCCGTAAGTAAAAGAAATCATGCATTGTAGGATGTTTAAAAAAAAGTATAAGTAAAAGGAATCGGTTTCACTCAGTATTTTGAAACAGAATTCCTACAATCTTCAGAGTTTGTAGAGGTTTCAGGGTTTCAATAAGCTAGTTTTCCACATGGTACAGGAGTTGAAAGGCATGAAGTAGAGTCTGATTAATAGAAATAAGCGTAGATGAGCACCAGAAGAATAGAGCCTGCCTTATTAGTTAGATTGGGTTTCACAAAACACGATGAAAAACTGTCAGATGTCTTCTGAAATCCAGATATAGTATATCTTTCATATCATCCTGACAGCACCCCATAATCTTATTTTTAAATAGCACCCCATAGTCCCATTTTTAAACAAAAGAAAAAGAAATACCACTTTTGTTCTTTTTAAACACATTTCAATTTAATAATCCCTTCTTACCAGTACATTTTTTAAAAATACAGAGAAATAGACTGGGCCAGTGGCTGACACCTGTAATCCCACCGCTTTGGGAGACTGAGGCAGGAGGATTACTTGAGCCCAGGAGTTCTGTCCTGAGCAACAGAGTGAGACCCTATCTCTAAAAAGAGAAAAAATATATAGAGAAATCATATACATGATCCATTTTAGAATATGGGCTTTCTTTTTTAGAAGATTATTCTGTTTGATGGAAAAATGAAATAATACACCATTTGTTGTTGCAATTATTATTAAAAATTAGGGGTAGTAGTAGAAGTAGTAGCTCACTAAATTTTTGAAGAGTATAACTTTAAGCCAAAAATAATCCCGTTGCTTCATTGTTATGGGAAAGATCCTAGGGTTTGGTTACACAGCAGATTTGAGTTCAAAGCTCCATTTTACTCTGTGAATTTCCATGTGAGTTTTATTTTATTTACTTAAGTAATTTTATTTTCTTTCAGTTCACGATCTTAACAGCTATATTGAAGCTTGTTGTGAGGGTTAAGTTAGATGGTTTTAATAAAGCTCCCAGCAGAATGTTTAGGCTCTTAAAAATGTTGGTACTTAGCCCTCTTCTCCCAAACACGGTTTAAAACAAAACAAAGTGATAAAACCCTCAGCTTTGTGCCTTAGCCTGTCAGAAAAATGTCTTAGTGGGTCATAACACTGTTTGATATTAATCCTTTAATATGGGCATCTCTTTTTGTTTGTACATTATAATTTTTTAAAAAACATTATAATGATTTTCCTGTATGGTTTTGTCTCTGAATTTGGGAGTGGGGAGGAAGTGTCCAATTAGTCTTTAGACAATGCTTTGCACCATGATGTTAGACCTCTTTCAGAAGTTTTTTAATCCCAAGATTTTATTGAAAAGTCATGCTTATAGAAAAGTTTAAAGAATAGTTCAGTGAGCACCTTTATCTAGGTTCCGCAGTTTTTAATATTTTGTCACATTTGCATGTTCTCTCCCCTCCTCCTTTACACACACACTTACTTTTTATTGAACAATTTAGGAATCCTAAATACCATATCTCCTAAGAGCAAGGACATTCTTCTACATAACACCCAAGGAATTTAGCCTTGATACAATACTACTATCTAATATAAAGCCTAGAGTCAGATTTCCTCAGTTGTCCTAATATGTCCTGTCTTTTTTATTTTTAATTCAAACTCATTCAAGGATTTTGTATTGCATTTAATTGTCATGGCTCAATTTTTATTTCATAATTTCTTTGAAATTTGCTTTTTTAGAGTTTTGAAGGTTATCCCTGACAATGAAACAGTTCCCTGTATCTCCTGTTATGAATTAGGCCACTGTCTGGTCAGTATGCCCCATCAACATCTGTGAAATCTTTGCACTGACATTTAATATTGCTTTTAAGGACTACTGTGGAGCATTGCTTGCTCTAATAAGTAATTATTTAAGTGAAAATGGAACTCCAAATTATGAATTTGCTAATTTTTCTTTCTCATATAATTAACCACTCTTCAATTTTGTGCCATAATGTGAACATTCAATTTTATAGTATAGTTTTAACAGAGCTAAAATTTTACAGTTTTCTTGAAACTAGCATTTAGAATAATTCAGAGGTGAAATTAAGTCTTTAAATCTCACACACCCATTGTGTAAAATGACATATTAAAAAAACTCAGTGAAATCACCCAAAACAGAAAATGCTTAATCCCCCAAAAAGTGGTGAAATATCAGAAGTTCAGATCTTATCTTGAATCTGATTCAGGGAACATATGCTTCCTTGATTCATAGAGCATACGCTTCCTTTTGTTTTGTTTTGGAAATATTGTGTAGCCTTGGTATTCATTGTTTCTACTTTAAAGTTATTTGATGATAAGACCTTTTAACTCCCAAATTATTTTTTTTTCGGAGGGCGTTCTCGTCAGACCAATTTGGGGGTACAATTATAATTACATTTATATTTTGTTTTTTGAAATCAGCTTATTTTGGATAACATTTCAAGCTTGGTAATCACCAATACTTGACAATGCATATTGAGAGAATGCTACTTTAACTAATTAATTTACTAATTCATTCAGCAGACATTTACTGAGTCCCTATTGCGTG